GCAGAGGGGGGCAGGGGGAAAGGGGAAGGCTTCTCAGAAGGAGGCTGCTCCTCAGAGGGCGCCGGCTTTACATATACAGAAAAGGCCCGCGCCTTCTAAGAAGCAGGGGTGTTTCTGAAAAGCCTTCCCTCCTCCCCCTATACCCCCTAACATGCGACTTCCCGATTTTTTCAATACGCGGTCCCCTGAAGTCTCGACCCTCAACCAGGCATCTTTTTTTTATTGTTGTTGTGTTTGTTTCATCCTCAGTCGTGTTTTGACGGTCCCAGGGCCCGGCGAGGGCCCCCGAAGGCCGAAAATGTGTAAAACTAGGTCGGGCATGTCCTCCTACAGGCGGAATCTGGGACGACAAATAACAAATCATCAAACCGTGTCAAACTATGATCAAAACTGGTCCAAAAACTCTTTGCAGAGTACGTTTGACTAGTTTTGAATATTCCTCCTGCGGAGGGACGGGCCCGACCCAAAGCTAAACACCTCCCGCCGGGAATGTTTAATCGCAGCGCGAGGGGGCATGGGCCCGACCCTTTCCCAGGCACCGGGTTTGTCATCATGAGCTGTATCTTGACGGTCCCAGGGCCCCTGCGGGGGCCCCTCCATGGAAGCCGAAGAATAGGAAACACCTTCCGTCACGATTTCCTCACACCGCGAGGGGGAGCACTTATTTCTACCAGCGCAGACGGAGCCCAGCGGCACGACACGACACGAGCGACGGACGACAGACGAACGAGGGAGGGGAGGGGAGGAGGGAGGGGAGGAGGGAGGAGGGAGGGGGGGGGGGGGGGGGAGGAGGGAGGGGAGGAGGGAGGGGAGGGGGAGGGGGAGGGGGAGGGGAGGGGGGGGGAGGAGGGAGGGGAGGAGGGGGGCAGCGGGGGGGAGGGGGGGGGAGGAGGAGGGGGCAGCGGTGCCGCGCGGGGGAGGGGGGGAGGGGAGGGGGGGGGGGGGGGGCAGCGGGGGGCGCCCGCGCCCGGCGCAGCCCCGCTCAGGCCGGGCGCAGCCCCGCGAAGGGGGGACACAAGAGCGCGACCTCTCCCCAACGCGAGGCCAGAAAAGGGCGACCAAACCTCTGAAGGGGCCCCAGGACACATAAGTAAGTACACAAGTAAACAGATTCCCCATATTGTCCTGTATTTTCTGGGTTTCTGTCTTCCCCCCCGCTTCCCATATGTTTTGCATATTTCCCTGGGAGTCGGCGATGAATTGTGTCTGTGTGTTTTTTCTCCCCTCCTGAACCTCCCGCCGCGCGTGCGTGCTCACAGCGCGAGAGGGGCCTGGGCTCGCCCCCGCCTGCGCGCGGCCGGCCGACCTCTCTGTGGGGCAGGGGCTGGCCGCCCCCGGGATGCCCGTAGGCCCCCCTACGGCTGGTTCGTGTCGAGAATAGGAGGACGAGGAGGAGGGGGGAGGAGGAACGAGGACCGCGAAGCGCGAATAACTTCGCGCCCTCGAGGGAGCCCTTGGAGATGCCACAGATCCCGCAGGAGACGTGGCACGAGCTGGACGCGGGAAGGTGGCGAGCCCCAGATCACATCATTCTGGGCGGGGGCCGCGCCGTGGCCAGGCTACGGCTGGTTCGTGTCGTGACGACCCTGGCGTTGGTTTCTGACACCGCGTCGATCGCTCAATCTTGAACGATCGGCGGCTTTCCGATCACCCGATCGTTCCGTGTAGTCCGATTCCGGGCCACTGGCGGCGTTCAACCTTGAACGCCCGCGGCGGGGTCGCCGCTGGTCGACACGACGCGAACCTACCGTACCCCCCAAGATTTCTGAGGGGGAGGGTGGGGTTCGCATGTGGCCCCCTCTTAGCACCAGGCTATGCTCTGAGAGCAAGACGACGCTCCTTGAACCAAAACCCCGTTCTTGGAACAAACAACGTTCCTGAGCCAAGCCAGAATTCTCAGAACCCGATGCGCCAAAGCAAGACAGTCCCGGCCAGAATTGGTCTAAGAGCACTTGGTGCCAATCTCCAAAAATTATTCGCACGTTCTTTGGTGGGCCTCTATATACAGGGGCCCAAGGGCACACACAAACAAACAAGCACAAATCTTAGGATTCTCCATATGCTCCTATCTGTCCTCGATGTCCGTCTTCCCCGCCACTATTTTCCCCGATCTTCCCATATATCTTCTTGAAAGTCGACAGTTATCATTGTGTCTGTGTGTTGTTTCCCCTCCTGACTATAAGCGAGCCAGGACGCCTCGCCACTGCTCGGGCCCACTGCGAAGAGGAGGGAGGACGAGGACTGAGACGACCAGGACGATTATCGGCGACGACGACAAGGGAGAAATGGGGCGGAAGGGCGGTGGGGGCATGAACGTAGAGACGGGGTTGCATGCAGGAGGAGGGATGGGAGAAGGAGAGAGAATGGGGCCTACAATCGAGCTCAGACGCCTCGCCACGACGTCACGCTCCTTTGCATGACCCGACCCCAAGAGGTCCTGACCCATTCCCCAGGACCGGCTCTTCATCCCGAGTCGTGCTTTGACGGCCCAGAGGCCAGGTCCGGGCCCCCAGGGGCCGAAGGTAGCGACATGAGAACCTCTCGTCGTGATTTTTTGTTCGCCGTGCGGGGGGGGTCTGGGTATCAGGCGAGCCAGGACGCCTCGCCACTGCTCGCGAGACCTCCTTGTTAGGGAACCGCGCTCTCTCTCTCTCTCTCTCTCTCTCTCTCTCTCTCTATATATATATATATATACCGACGCTTTTGCGTGGCCCTGCACGGACCTTTGCGCAAGAAGGCGGAACCTGGTGTATACGGGACCCTGGTGCATACATTTCTGCATGCTTCCTGGGAAAACGGGGAAACACGACTACACAACACCACCCCGACGTCGTCCCCGAACCTCAAATCGGGAGCGGCCAAAAGGGCGGTGTCCAAGAGGGGGGGGTGCAAATCATGACCGCTGGCATGTGCGCGGCCCCGCGGGGGGGCCAGGGACGTAATGAAATAAGACGAGGCGCCATGAAATCTGGGGAAATACCATGGCCCACGCCATGATATCCACCCCCCTAGTCATCACCCCCCTCTTTTCCGCCCCCGACTCAAAAAGTCCTGGGATTGGAAGACGGCCCGGCACTGGTGATGTATAGGCCCGCGCCAAGGAGGAGCAGGAGGCGGAGGAGGAGGAGGAGGAGGAGGAAGAAGGAGAGGAGGAGGAGGAGGACGACGATTCACCTGAGTAGGCCTAAGGCGGAGGAGGAGGAGGAGGAGGAGGAAGAAGGAGAGGAGGGGAGGAGGAGAGGAGGAGGAGGAGGAGAGGAGGAGGGAGGCGGAGGAGGAGGAGGAGGAGGAGGAGGAGGAGGACGATTCACCCGATAGGCCCAAGGCCAGCCCAGCAATGCATAGGCTCCCGTCTCCGACTTTTGCCGCCGAGGGCCGGCGGCGGAGCTCGGCGCCGCGCACGGCCACCGCGCCGCCGCGCCGGGCGCGGGGCGCGGGCCGGGGGCCCGCGGCCTCGCACGGGCCGCCTCGGCCGCCGCGGGGGGGCGGCGGCGCCGCCGCGGGGGGGCGCGGGGCCACGTCGCCGCCGCCGTCGCCGCAGAGCCCGGAGGTCCGAGGACGGGAGTCTTTCGGTCTGCAAGCGGTTCCTCGACCTCGGCCTCCGGGGCCCGTCGTCGGGCCCGGGGGCCACGAGGAGCGGAGGCGGGGCGAGGAACCACCCCCACGGAGGGGGTCGGGGCCTCTGGGGCCGCGGGTGAAGATGATCACATCGGCGGATGTCTGGCAGTCAGACCTCCCTGAAGTCTTGGCGACCCCATTTTTTGAGCCGGGCGTGCTCGCCGCCGTCGTCGCCGCAGAGTAGGACCTCCCCGAGGTGCTGGCGACTCCACTTGTGAGCGTTTTCTCATTCGGCGATTCGATATTGGGCGGAAGGAGGGGGAGGGGGGGGGTCTGGCTCGGGACCTCGGCTTAGCGCGACTGTTTGCAGCAATTGGCAATGCTTCCTGTGGGGGAAACTCCACCTGCTCGAAACGGGCGCCAAAAATAACCAAGATCTACTCCATGGGGAAGGGGAGGGGGGGAGCGAGGGCCCGCGCCGATCGGCAAAACGAGGACTGGGTAGTCGAAGCCAATCTGGCGCCAATCTGGCAGGCCCAATCTGGCAAACGGGGACAATCTGGCGAGGGAGCCAACGCGAATCCAGTCTGGCGAATAACCCAAATCCTCCAATATGGCCAGGCCAGATTGGCCCTTGGGGCCCAATCCAGTCTGACAGTCTGTCCTTCGACTACCCAGAAGGAATAAGAAATCGCTCCGGCTCGACAACTGGAGCAGAAAGATGGCATCCAGGGCTCCGGGCGTGATCTTTTACGATGTTGCATCTGTTTTGCTACGTCGAATCTCAGAGCTAGGCCAGAAGACCATCCCTCAAGAATATGAGGCCCTCGGACGGCCAAAACCAGCAGAACATCCAAGTGTTCACCCTTCCCAGGGTACACGAGAACATCCAACAAAAACACAAAGAACACCAGGGTACCCTCCTCGATCTTATACCTCGGTCTGTTTGTAATTCGGGGTCGTCATCGTGCTCGTCGTCGTGGCCGTGGTCGCGGTCGTCGTCAGCGGCTCTCGTCGTCGGCGTCGTTCGGGCCAGTCGCCACCGTCGTCTTCGTCCTCGGTATCGTCGTCACCGTCGCCGTCGACCCCCCCCCACCACCACACACCCACACACCCACACACCCACACACCCACACACCCACACCCACACCCACACCCACACCCACACCCACACCCACACCCACACCCACACCCACACCCACACCCACACCCACACCCACACCCACACCACACCCACACCCACACCACACACCCACACACCCACACACACACACACACACACACACACACACACACACACACGCGCACCACCCCCCCACCCCCAGCCCCTACGTAAGACGCACCCCCCCACCCACCCACCCCCCGCCCCGCCGCCGCCGCCGCCGCCACCGCCACCGCGCACGCGCGCGGCGGGGCGGGGCGGCAGTGGTTGCGGCGGCTGCTCAATACGCCCACTCGCTCCTGCTGCGCCAGTTCCGCGCCGCCTCCGCGGAGGGCGCGTCGGAGAAGACGCGCTGCTCCACGGCGAGCAGAGACGCTGCTGGCAGTCCTGCACCGCCAGCGGGCACCTCTCGGCGGCGTGAAAACGAGGAGGCTCGGGGTCCAGGGCTCCTCCTCCTCCTCCCCTCCTCCTCCTCCTCCTTCTCCTCCTGCTCCTCCTCCCCTTCTCCTCCTGCTTCCTCCCCTTCCTCCCCCTGCTCCTCCCCCCTCCCCCTCCCCCCCCCCCTCCCCTCCTCCTCCCTCCTCCTCCTCCTCCTCCTCCTCCTCCGCCTCCGCCTCCGCTTCCGCCTCCTCTCCCTCCTCCTCCTCCTCCTCCTCCTCCTCCTCCTCCTCCTCCTCCTCCTCCCTCAAGCGCCGTTTGTGCTCGAACCATTTTGGCGAGCCCGTCTCCTGTGCCTGCACGAAGTGTTTGGGGCATTTCCTTTCGAGAGCTCCCAGTGGGCCACTCTAGAGGACGACCAAATCAGGAGTCTCTCATCTGATGGCATCTGGTCACTGGTGGTCTCGTTGCAGCTGCGGCCGAGCGCAGTGGAATTCGATCCTCACCGCTAACAACAGACAGCGTCCATCGTGCAAGCGCCAGGTGAAGCTACACAAGTCTAAGTTAGACAACGATCAGCAGCAGCCCGAGGAGACCCTCCCGCGCGGGGGGCAAAGGCAAAGGCGCGGATGGCCCGCGCTAGTCACCACTCCAGGACGAGCTGTCTCTGCTGCGGCTGACGATCAAGAGCACCGGAGATCCGAAGCTCAAAGCCTCGCTCCAGGCGCGCGTGGCGGAGCTGGGACCCCCGCCCCAGAGCGCGGCGGCTTCCAGCGAGGCCCACGCAGCGGCGGAGGCGGTTCGCCGCGCGGTTAGCGCTTGGAAGGACGCCGACCACAAACACTCGCAGACAATTGCTAACGTGGTACGGCTCCAACAAGCACTCTCCGTCGCCAATGAGATGGAGGCAGCCGCAGGCCTGGTGCTTGCGCAGGCGGTTCGCGCCAAGACTCAGCTCACCGCTGCCCTCGCTGCGGCCGAGGGCCTGGGCGCGGCAGCCGCGGCAGCTTCACCTGGGGCGCCGAAGTTCGAGCTGCAGCGGGGCGTTTCCATCTTCGAGGGCCTTGCCACCTTGGAGCGCGAGGAGGCCGAGAGAGCCGATCGTCGCAGGCTCCAGCAAGATCTCACCACCGTCCAGCAGCTGTTGGCGACGAAGGAGTCCGAGGTCACCGCGGTGCTGGAGCAGCGGCCATGCGCGAGGCTCTCAACCGCCGTCAAGCCAAGAAGCGCAAGGTTGGCAAGGAGGCTAGGGAGGCAAGCGCCAGCGCGCAGCAGGCGGCCGAGGCCCCTGCCCCCGCCGCGGCGCCCGCCGCCGCCGCCGAGCCCGCTGCCGCAGTCGGCAGCCGCCCGCCAGCCGACCCAGTCCAGACGCCAGTCGGCGCGGAGGACGACGCGGCCCTGCGAGCGGCGGCGGGGAGCCTCACCGAGGCTAAGCGTGCTGCTGAGGAGCGGGAGCTGGAGGAGCGGAAGCAGCATGCGCAGCAGCGCATTGGCAAGGGCAAGGGCACCGCCAACCCCAAGTCAGGCAAGAGCAAGCCAGGGGTTGCAGGCGGCCAGCCCATGCCAGCATTGGCGACAAGGCATGGCAATATTTGCCAACGTGCAAGCACGACTTCCTGGGCATCGTGGAATCTCACGTGGACGAGCCCGAAGTTCGCCGATGGGTTGAAATCACGGGGAGCAGAACTTCGTTTACTCGCTGGTCTGGTCCTGGTACGTGATTGGAAAGTGGCCAAGTCGCAGAATGCTCGCTCGAATGAAGGTGGAAAATGGATCCTTGCTCGAGGTCGCCTTCGGATGCAGTCCTTACTTAGTGCAGTGTCACGACGCCCTCTGGCAGCGCCAGGTCATGCTCAGCTGGACGGGTTCACGGCGGTCATTCTTCACCTTAGAGGCTACTCCATCGTGGCCATTGTGTTCTACGCGTACCCGAGCATAGGCTTCAGCGGCCCCAACCTGGGACGCTCCCAGCGGTTGGGTTCACTTCTCAACACGATTCGTCTCCCATGGTTCGTGGTGGGTGATTTCAACATGTCTGCCGAAGTCCTATGCAAGTCGACGTTCTTCTCGAAACTCGCAGGGATACCGAGGATCATAAGAGCCTCCATCGCGACCGCGTGCAACCTTGGGCGCCATGATCGGCCACATGTTGATGTTGCTCCTGTGCTCAGAGGCTCCTGTGCTGTGATCATCGATGTTCTTCCAGAAGTTTGCGTCCCTCGGAAGCCTCGCAGTGTATTGATCCTCCGACTACAGCAGAGCGCCGAGCAGCTGGTGGCGCGCTTCTTGGCGGTGCCGAGGCGGCTGCCGCAGCTCGCCAGGCCGCGGGCAGCGCCGAGGGCGGTCTCCAAGTCCGCCCGAGCGCGCGAGGTGGCGGCAGAGCGGCGGCAACAGAGAGCGGAGTCCAGAAAACAGCAGTACGATGACTGGTTTGGCGATCTCTTTGGGTCAGAATAGTCGAAGGTAGATCAGTTGAGTGATGAGTCCGAACTTGAGCCAGAATCAGGTGTCCCGTCTGTCCCCGAAGAACCCCTGGACGATCTTGAAGGCTTGGATCCAGGGGAGTCTCAGGAGTGCCCAGATGGGCACGAGTCCGGAGAGGACCTGTGGGCCCACGAAACGTGTTTCACCAGCCGTAGGGTTTCCGCGGAGGCGCGCTCTGACCTTTCGGGGGCCGTCTCGGGCGAAGCTCCAGCAGTGGCGCCGAGCCTTGAATGTAAGCCCCCCGCGTCCGATGAGTAGCACCCCCACCCAGACTCTCGCGGCAGTGGTGGTCCCGCCCCCACTTCCCTCTATTCGTCCTCCGCCCTCCCCTCCCCCCCCCTCCCTCCCTCCCTCCTCCTCCGACCAGAGAGTAGTGGCGTCCGCAATTCCTGAGAATGTGTGGCAACAGTGTCGCCAGGATGTGGGCTGTGCGCCAGCGCGGGCTTGCCCGCCGAACGATGCGTTCCGACGGTCTGTAGCCATTTCGCCCAATGGCGCACCCACTCTGTTTGCGATATCCTCATTATATGCCTCATGGGTCTCGGCTGCGGAGTCCACTTTCCGCAGCCATTATGCGATGACAGGAGCTGCTGGTCCAACGCGGGCGCAGGCGGCAGAGTTCTGTGAGGGGGCCGTTCATGTGCAGGAACGGCAGCGTACGACACCAGAGCGGGATCTCATCGCCAGCTGGTGGCATCGTTTGTCTACAATTCTGGCAGGTCTCCTTCGACGTGTGGCACGACCGCCTGGACATAAGTAGCGCGGGCAACTTCTATCGGCACTGGCCAGTCATCTGGACGAACGCCCTGAGAAGGCCCATGCGGTCATTCGGTCTTCTCGAGATCAGCGGTGGAGATGCCGGCAGTCGTTGTTCGAGGAGCTCCGCGCGTTGCCCAACAGCTCGGAGGAGGCCCCACTGGATGATAAGGCTCTTGCCCAATCTAACGCCACCGCCCCGAAGAGCGAACGAAGACCTATCGTCGATCTGGAAATCCGCCTCACTGCGTTTGCCCAGGCAGCCCCGCGCATTGCAGGCAGATGCCAAGCGAGAACAATCAGAACAGCATTGAGGGAATTCGGAGACTGGATGGAGACACCGGTTGCTTTGGGAGCGCTGCATAAGAATCTTCGGCAGGAACCTCTCGCTCGACCAGAGCTTGAGACGCCGTCAGGAGACATATTGTTTCAACCGCGCGATATTGTTGAAGAGAAATCAGCTAAATGGAGGAAGCTGTGGGCTCCGTCTCGGGATGCAGTCGAGCAGATCCAACTTGCGTTCTGGCAGGCTCGCGACCGAGCCGAGCTCGAGCCTCTGCCAGACATCGCGGCAGGAGCTATTCGTGCTGCAGCGCGCCGCGCGAGGGCGGGCACAGGGCTTGGCATCGATCGGATGAGCCCCGTGGACTTCGAGCGTCTACCTGCTGCAGCCTTGGAAGAGCTCGCCGGCCTTTACAGCATCATCGAATCCGAGGTCACTCGGCCTCATCAGATCATGGCCGTACTTGGGCGCCTGCTGCCGAAGAAATCAGCGGGCGACCGCATCATCGACCTTCTATCAATGTTCAATCGTATCTGGTCGACGCTCCGCGAACCAGTTGCGCAGGTGTGGCCGGATCAGAATGCCCACTTCTGGGACGCAGCGGCGCGAGGCAACGCGGCTCTGCGCGAAGCCTTCGTTCGCACGCTGCAAGAAGAGGTTGGGCACAGGCTGCAGACCCAAGCTGGCACTGGCCTCCTAAATATCGACAACTGTATGATAACACTCGCAGGGGGTACTGATACCAGCGGGCTTGAAGTTTGGCTTTCCTGTATGCATCCTACGTCCCGAGATAGCCCAGTGTGCAGCATCGCGGTTGCTTGGTCAGAGTGGGTCCAGGGCCACCCCCATCGAGCCGACTCAGTCAGTGATGCAGGGACTTCGATCTGGCACGCGTTTGGGGCGCATCACGGCATATCATATGTCACATCGCATGTGTGTGGCGCATCCACAGATGGGCAATAGCATCTGGATTGACGACCTCTCGCTTCGTGCTGTCGGTCCCCGTTCCAGTGTTCGGCGGCAGTTGGTCAACAGCATCAAGGCTACCTGCCAAGGTCTAGCTGCGGTGAAGCTCAGAGTGGCGAGCAAGAGTGTGGTTATGTGCTACTACCACCCGACGCGGAAATGGTGACCAGAGCGCTGCGCGTGGCGGGGTACACCGTCAAGTCCCAGGAGACCGCGGGGTACCTCGGTGTGGATATTGGATGTGGTGGTCAGCATGTTCGCAGCACTCGCAGGAAGCGGCGCCAGAAACATGGCATCATGCATCGGCAGGTGAGGAAGTTCGCATCGGCGGGCCGACATTACACCACGAAGTCTAAGCTGGAACGCCTGGGCGCTCAGGCAGCTGGTGGATATGGCTACGGCAGGTTCGTGTCGTGCCGACCCCAGCGTTGGTTTTTGACACCGCAGGGATCGTTCAACCTTGAACGATCGGCCGCTGCCGCAACGTCCGATCGTTCAACATCGATCGATTCTGGGCCGCCGGCGGCGTTCAACCTTTA